TGGGGAAGGGGCACGGAGCTCCCGGGTCCTCCACGTGCACCGGGCCCCCCCGTATCTCCACGTGTCTGCCAACCCGGCCGCTCTCCGAACCCCGTCCCTGGGGTTTCACGGAGGCCTCCTTACCCAGGCGTGGCTGATTGAATCATCGGCCGCTGGCGACTGACTCAATGGCCAGCCTTTCTTCCTTGGGGTCGGGTAGAAAGAAGGGTGGACGATGGAAAGTTCCGACCCTCTCGACCCCTGGTTGGGTGCCCTGGCAACCAGCCTCCTTCCTTCCGTCACCTCGGGGCTTTCCAAGAGTCACCTCGTTACCCCCACAAAGACGCCGTTAGCCCTGTCCTCACCTAGGAAATCCCTGGGGTTTGGGAGGTCTGCGCCAGCGCGGGGCAGAGCGCAAACGTGTGTTCCTTGTTAGACCTGTGGATGACGAAGGGGCCGCGCGGGCCCTACAGACGCAAGAGACCAAGAGTAACCACACGGGGTGACCTGAACACGAAAATTCCTAACTGGTCACGATGGGTGGTCCTGTCCTAGGCCTGTGGCCTCCTTGACAAAGGTCGGCCTTTACCTGAAGTGTCTGCCTACCAGTCTTTTTGCATCTAAGATAACAGACCTTCCAAAGGTCAGAGTCGTCTCCTCCTCCAGACCCCTCAGGGCACAACCTCCCACCAGAGCACAGAGCCCCTCACTGTCCTCTGGTCCCCGAGACCATCTCTCTGTGTAAACATCACCTGGCCTGCACCCGCAGGTGTAGGAGAAGTGCCTGTCCCTCCGTTTTGCTTTTTATCCCGCCCCAGAGACACCCCAGCCCCCCGGCTTTCCCTCACCCCCTTAATCCACCACCAGTGGATTTTATGTGAGCCTCCCTACGTCTCGTCCTTTGATTCTAACGTATAAAATAAGCTGCAAAACCGCCATTCTCCGGAGAGTTTTCTCGATCCGTTGAGATTTTGCTTCCAGGCAGTTGTCGTCAGTTTGGCTCAGATAAACTCAAAAATACTCTACAGTTTTGGCCGTTTCTTACGTCGACATGAATCACAGTGTCACAACTACGAACATGTTAGTTCCATGGCTGGAGGACTTAAGGATGCAGATGACCTTAAAATAGAGATTAGCCAGGTGGGCCCAATGTCGTGACCTCAGGAGTCCCTAACAGTGGGAGAGGGAGGGAGGGGGAGCCACGGGTCAGGGGGAGAGGTGTGACAGCAGATGCAAATGAAGGTGATGCATGATGGGAAGACCACGACCGCTGCTGCTGGCTTTCAACACGAAGCAAAGAGGAAGGGGGCTCGAACCAGGGAGGCGGGCGCCTCCGGAAGCCGGAAAAGGCCGGGGGTTCTATCCTGGAGGCCCTGCCGACACCTTGATTTTAGCCCAGCGAGACATGGGTCTGACCTCCGGAACTGTAGGCTGGATTGTTTAAGCCACTAAACAAGCGGTAATTTGTTACAACAGCAAATAGAATATACAGTTACTACGCGCGACTTTAAAACCACACCCGCCCTGGCACAGCATCCAGACTGCGGCTAGGACGGGGCCTTCGGAGTTGGAGAAATGCGGCTCGAGTCGGCCCGAACGGGAATCAGAACCCCCAGGCCCCAGGGCAGGTGGGGGAAACGTCATCTTATGCTGAAAGCACTAGCGCCATACTAAGGGCCCAGCAAATCAGAGCCATTAGCTTTCTCTCTATGGATTCCACCTTCCCTATGACCCTGCGAGTTATCTTCCTGTTTTACAGTTGGGAAAGGCGAAGCTGAAGGACATCAGATGATTTGCTTAAATTATAACAAATACTGTGATGCCGGAGCCTTGACTCTTTTCCTGCCCATAAGAAGGCAGTCACCGTCATTTTAAAGGTTCTTTCTTTCCTTTCCTTTAGGAGAAACATAAATGAAAACATTAAATTTTAAAAGAAAATGATAACTCTTTCCTCTAAATTGTTCCCAGCTGTGGGAGGAAATAACCATTTTAGCGCAACTTAAATAGAACTAAAAGTGGTTAAGATCATTAAAAGATGTAAGCAGAGATAAATAAAAAGGTTTATGGGCAGAATCGGGGCCACAGGTGTTAGTCCCAATTTCCCAGTAATCCCCAGAAAAGTCCATGGGATTCTAGAACAGGGCGGGCACCAACACCTCCCAAGCAAAGGCTCGGCATAAATCTTTCAAAGATGCCTTTAAGGGGTGCTAAGCAGCTAATTAATACACAGTCTCGTTCAATTCGCACAGAAACGCCAGGAGCTAGACCACCCCACGGCACGGATGGAGTCCCAGAGGCTCAGAGACAACCTGGTAATTCATCCGAGATCACTTACTCTATGCTCATAAACGGAGAAGCCCGTTTTTGGAATCTGGACGTATAACTCCGAAGTCGTGAGCTTCCACCCTAGGGCTTGGTCTGGAAAAGTATCTTATTTGTGTTTTAAAAGAAACCAAGGCTATGTAAAGAACTACGATTCAATGACAAGGAGATGAATAAACCAATTAAGAAGTGTGCAAACCAAGGACATTTCTCCGAAGATATACACAAATGGCCAATAAGCACATGAGAAGATGCTCACCATCTGCCATGAGGGAAATGCACACAGCAAAGCCACAATGACACCGCCTCTCGCCGCTGGGATGGCTGTAATGAAAGGAACAGACGATAAGCATTGAGGATGTGGAGAAACGGGAACCTTTCTACATTGCTGGTGGAGTGTAAAATGATGTAGCCACTTTGCAAAACAGTTTGGCAGTTTCTCAAAAAGTTCAACGGAAAACTCCATTCAACCCAGCAAATTCCGCTCCTGGGTATCTACTTAGGAGAAATTAAAACATAGGTCCACACGAAGACTCGTTCGCAAATGGTCCTAGCAGCATTGTTCGAATTAGCCAAATTGGAAACAACCCCAAACGCCCAACGCGTGATTCATGAACGGATAAATAAAATGCCGGACCTCCGCATAATGGAATATTATTCGGCAATATAAAAGGAATGACGTCTTGATAAATGCCACAGCCCGGGTGAATCCCAAAAACGTGACGCTGCAAGAAGTAAGGTGCAATGGCCATATACGGTTGTGACGCCACTTACAGAAAAGTCCAAAATAGACAAATCTGTAGAGACAGAAAGTAGGTCAGGGGCCGCCCGGGGAGGAAGGGGGGACAGGGCAGTAGGGCATAAGGTTTCCTTGTGAGGGAGATAAAATTAGGCGGTGCTGGTGGTTTACTGTAAATATACTAATACCTTTGAATCATGCACTTAAAACAGGTGAATTTTATAGTGCGTAAATTATATCTCAATTTTATTTATTTATTTTTTTTTTTTGGCAAAAGTAAGATACATTTTCAAGAACGGCTGGTGTAAGCGAGCATTCCCTTTGCCGACCCAGCTCACACACCACCACGCACACCAATGACGCCCATGGTTGGCCGAATCGCTCGGTGCCCGGGGCTCGTATGGGAGGCTTTCGAACGGACTGCATGAGCCTCTGCGGCACGTTTAGCTTTTTAAGCTAAAACGTTTTAAAACTGCTTCGAAAGGGAGGGGGATGGCAGAGGCCTCCTTTAAAGTCAAGTTCTGCACAAAGCGCTCCCCGTCCGCACAGCGTCACTCTGTCCTCCCCCATCCGCTGACCCACCGCAAGACGCTGCAGACGCCCCTGGCGCGGGCAGGCGACCAGCCCCGGAGGTGACGGCGCGCCCTGCCACCCCAGAGTGGAAAGTGGGGTGCGGTTCCCACGACGGCCTCCCGACGCCCCTGCCCCCGCCACCCTTCGCCCCGCAGCAGCGACGCT